TTTAAACGGACAGCATTTATAGAATGACTATTAAAAGTCAGCGAGTGTGAGAGAATGACACTCTAGCTATTCTGCAATTCATCTCATGTAAACAATAACATGGCGCACAGCGTGACGTGAAAAAGGCACATACCTTTGATGTTGCGTGATGAATTCTGTATTCCTCGTCCACACATAAACGCAAAAAAGGAGTTTAAAAATTCTCCGTTTTCGGTGATTCGAAACGACGTTTACGTGTGGACGAAACAGCTGCGTTTTCAAAAACACCCGTGTAGGTGCAGCATAAAAGAGTTAGTAGTTTATTGTATTACTACCTGTAATTTATTGCAGATTACTTGTATTTGATTAATTGTTTACTAAATGTTTGAGGTGTGAAATAAACTGCAATGGAGCAAAATATGGGTGTGTGTGTTTGGAGGATGTGTGCACGCGCGCGGGGGGATGGCACGAGCATTTTTCTTGTAAAACAAAGGGGGGCCTAGCAAAAAAAGTTTGGGAACCACTGGCCTAGTGAGTCATTTCAATAACAGTTTTCAGTTGTGGTAATAAACCTTGAGTTTTTTTAATCTGGGCTCCCTTATGTTACCTCCCCTGTCACCTAGCAGAGTCGGGGCGTAACACAATGTAAGGTGAACAATGTTTTAATTAATTGTCTTTATCACTAAGGATTATCATGATTATGATAAGGAAGAACATACTGATAAACATTGTTACCACTTCCTACCTGATACAGTATCAGCTAACAAAATCAAGATGCCTATGCCCGGCTCCTCATAGTGGATTTGGGTCTAAACTTTTACATGACCATTGAATGTCAGCTGGTGCTGGATGTGCTGAGGAGCTGACGTCGCTTTCCTGCATAATTACATCAACTACCTAACGTGTTAAACTTCAGAGATGGAACAGTAACGTTTGTGAAATTATATCTCATTATCAAGGATATCTACATTGAGTCCTCTTAAACTGAAATTGCTTCCTTAGTACTCATGAGTTTGCTATGCATCGTCTTGCTTATGTAATATTTAGTTATATATAGTCATAATATATAGTTATCTTTTGTTCACTGCTTACCTTTGTTAGGGTTTTTTCTCCTTGAAATCTGTCTTCATGTTTTCTATTCTGTGTGTAACATTCGTTGGTGCAATTCTGGCTTTGGTCATATTTTGAGTTCTCTTTGTGCTTTACTTAGTATTTTATACTTTGTTCTTGTATATGTATACAGACTGTTTACACTTCTGCCTTCGGGACGGAGGTTCAGAAGTGTGAAATCCAGAACATCCAGACTCAACAACTCCTCCTTCCCCACTGCCATCAGACTCTTGTACAGCTGACCTAGTTTTGAACAGTAATAATAATTTTTTGCACATCAGGTTACCCTGCATATAAAGCCAGCATATTAAGCTATAGCTCTTTTGCACACACTCTGTTTCACACTTTAATATTTTGTGCCCTTTTCTGTCTGCTTCATTTATTTATTTGTACTATTTGTATTTTATCTGTTCTATTTCTATGCCACATCTGGCCCGATTATGGTTTGGTTTTTGTGGCCCAGGCTCATAGAAAACTGGACTGGATCTCCATCCAGGTTGTACACTCAGAGGTCCTGATGACCTCTATACTGTCAGCAGCAGAGTGACTGTGGAGATTGCAGGTAAGCTTGCTGTGTCTCTTCAGACCCCAACAAATGAACATCAACCATAGCAAAGAGACACATATACATGTTCCAGGTAAAGTTCATGCATATCCTAATGTAAATTCTTTGG